ATCTTTTTACCCTAACTGCCTAGCCAATTCCTACCTCTTATTCTTATCACATCATCCTCTGAAGAGGTTACCCAAATTGCCGATAGGGAATAGGGATGCAGACCACTCTGGCTTCTTCCATGCTTAACAGGGACGCGGGTTGAGGCAATTGGAGTACCCCTTCAGTGGGTCTATCTATAAGACTCCCAAATTGCATAACTCTTATCTCAAGGAGGAAAGGAAAGTCTTTGAATCATGAATAGGAGATGTGAAGGAGAAGTAAAGGCAAGAGTAATTAGCATTATAAGTTCTAGACAGGGAACTAGGAAAAAAGTCAGAACAGGGTAATTTTCAAATGTTCATATGAGAGTCCATTGGAATTTCTTGACAAGGGCTTCCAAAAGCATCCCTCTACTGGGTTCCTCCTCATTTTATTTTTGTCCGCCAAGGCTGGACTCAAGAGTGATGGATTCAGGATTTGCTTTCAGGTATTTTGATAGCTGTTAAAGTGGTGAGAAGGTGTCAGTTCCCTCTCAAGGTTTCTAGATAGGGGGAGAAAACAAATTTATCCATCATTTTAGAGCAATAGCTGGTTGTCTCCCTTAGCTACCGGTGGGCACTACAGTATTGGTGACCAAGATTTGAAGTCTTACATCTGAGCTGCACTTTCTGGTTAGGAACAAAATCATCTATGAGAAATAATTGTCTAAATAACTTTTTATATAAAGTTAAGCCTAATGTCTGGGAAGTATAATCCCTTGAACTATTAAAGAAATATACTGATGACTTTATTCTTTAGTTATTCTTTCCTTTTGGGTGTTTAAGACCCTATGTGTATATTATTTTACAACAAGAGATTCTCAAGGTGAAGAGACAAATCTCCTCCAGAGAGGCCATGTGGGCTGGGGCTTGATGAATTGAGTCAGTCTGCGGGGTTAGGCAGAACTGTGGGGTTAGAGCTGCCAGATTAGGCAGAGCTATAGGGTTAGGCAGAGCTATGGGGTTAGGCAGACCTAGGTTCAAACCCCAACCTGCAACCCTCATCAGGTGTGTGATCTTGTTCAGCTCACTTCACCTAGAGTTCATTGTCAATTGCAATGTGGATTTCCAGGCTCCTCCCAGGTCTCACAAATCCTTATGGTACTGTACCAGAAAAAGACTTTTCTGGGCTTTGCAGGCTATAAATCCTGTTGCAAATTCAGATTCATGTGAGTCAGACATCTGATGTACCTTTATTGTTACTGTAACCCCAATTTATAGGAAAAGAGATACAACAGCATGTAATCATACCAATATTCATTTTTAGTAACAGAAAGCTCTATTCAAATGGTCTAATGGCATGCCTCTTTTATCCTGGTAACAAAGAGTTACCTTCAGGAGCAAGGATGAAGGAAATAAAATTCTTAGGCACAGACTAGGACTCCATCCAATTCAGACTCCAGCAGCTTTTCATAAATTCTCCTTACCACTTGGGGTCAGCGTGTCACCAAGGCCTGCCTGGGGCTTACTGCATTTGCCTGAGGACCTAGAAAAAGTTAGGTATGTAGATCAGGGCTAGAAAGAAAGGTAAATGGAAGAAAATAAATCATAACAAGTACAGTAGGATATTACTATAAATTTAAAAAGAAAGGATGTTGATAAATGAGACATATCTGATCTAGGTGGTAGCTTATGGCTTGATTTCTTTTTCATTACATATTTATATATTGAGTGTATGGGCATATGTGCTACAGGGTACTTGTGGAAGTCAGAGGATAACTTGAGGAGTTGGTTCTCTCCTTCCTCCATGTGGGTCTCTGGGACTAAACTCAGGTCATCAGGCTTTGCAATAGGTGTCTTTACCTGCTGGACCATCTCACTGACCTTCATTTTCCTTTTTCTGTAGTTTTTAATTGGGGGCTGGGGAGGTGGCTCAGTAGGTAAGAGCATTTTTCTGTGAGCATGAGGACCTGAGTTCAGATTCCCTGCACCCATGTTAAAAAAAAAGTATGACCATGTATACCTGTAATAGGCAGAGACAGGAGGATCACTGGGGCTTGCTGGCCAGCCAGTCTAACCAAAAAGCAGCAAGCTTCAGGCTCATTTAAAGACTCTGTCACAAAAAGTTTGTTGTGGTGACTCATATCTTTAGTCCCAGCACTTGGGAGGCAGAGGCAGGAGGATCTCTGTGATATCAAGGCAGGAGGATCTTTGTGGGATCAAGGCCAGCCTGGTCTACACACTGATTTCCAGGCCAATTGGGGCTCTAGGGAAACCCTATCTCAAAATCAAAACAAACAGCAACAAAAAGAGACCGTGTCTCAAGGGAATAAGACGGAAAGCCATAGAGGACACTTAACATCCTGCTCTAGCCTCATCTCTCTCTCTCTCTCTCTCTCTCTCTCTCTCTCTCTCTCTCTCACACACACACACACACACACACACACACACACAATGTGTGGTTTTGTAGACTTGAAAAAGAAGTCAATAAGGTTCTGCAATTCTTTTACCTAGAGATAATAACACTGTTATTTTCACAGATATTTTCCTTTATCTGTTAGAAAATATGTATCCTAAGTGTATCTACTTAGGGTGAAATTGAACAGTCTCTCACCCAGCAGGATAGCATGATACATTTGAGAAAACTGAGAACCAAATGAGAAACAGTTACTTCCTTTAAGCTCAGAGTGAAGTATTTGAAGTAACAGGAGGACCCAGCCTTGTGTTTTATTTTCTTCACTAGTATTTTTTTCATAAAGAATGTAGATGAGGCCAGATGTGGTCATGCACACCTGTAATCCTAGCACTTTGGAGGTGGAAGTGGGAGGATCAAGAGTTCAAAGTCATCCTTGTCTATGTAGCAGGTTCTAGTCCAGTCTGCTCTACAAGAGACCTTATCCCAAATAAAGACAGTAGATGACTTCTGTATCTTGAATTAATAAATCCAATTTTCAATTTGTTCAATGGTCAAATGGTTAAACAGAGAAGAAGTAGGAAGAAGCCCACACCTGGGGGAAGAATCCCAAGGATTCAAGGTCATTTTTACATGAAGAACGTCAACAGGAGGCCAAGGCCTCTAGCGTCCTTCTCACTCTCTGTTTTCCTCTCACCTACCCCTTCTCCAGAAAATGATGAAGGACAACAACCTGGTACGCCACCTGGATGCCTGTGAGACCATGGGCAACGCCACGGCCATCTGCTCAGACAAGACAGGCACGCTGACCACCAACCGCATGACAGTGGTACAGGCCTATGTCGGTGATGTCCACTACAAGGAGATCCCCAATCCAAGCTCCATCAATGATAAGACCATGGAGCTGCTGGTCAATGCTATTGCCATCAACAGCGCCTACACCACCAAGATCCTGGTAAGTGGGCACCTGTGTATGCCCCACCAGAGGTGCATGGTCCTGGGGAGGATGCAGAAGTAGTATGGGCAGGAGGAGTGATACAACTGCATCTTCAGTTCCTACTGATGGATTCTGATTATAGATACTTTTTTTTTTATTAGAAGAAGCATTTCATTACAACAGCATTAACCTATTCAATAACATTTTTCTGAGCTAGGGTATATCTCTTTCAAAATTGGCTATACATTTTTAGGTTTACAGATGAAAGTCCTGGGGAGGATGCAGAAGTAGTATGGGCAGGAGGAGTGATACAACTGCATCTTCAGTTCCTACTGATGGATTCTGATTATAGATACTTTTTTTTTTATTAGAAGAAGCATTTCATTACAACAGCATTAACCTATTCAATAACATTTTTCTGAGCTAGGGTATATCTCTTTCAAAATTGGCTATACATTTTTAGGTTTACAGATGAATTATTACGCTTATACAATCTTTTACTCATTATAAAGTCTATAAGACATAAAATTAAATGAGGTTTTAACGTTTAAAAAAGATCTCCACTTCGTTGTTAAAATACACAGTTTCATACAGAAAAATTCATTTTAAAGCAATTGACATTGAGACGTTTTCACATGCATTTCTAATCTCTCTATATATGACTA